CCTCAACAGTCTGCAGAATCCCCTCACTGATTACACTGTAAATGATAATCTACCTTAACCAAAATCAAAGTAGACTATCACTCACCCACACCAGATGGAAAACTCTACAGACTGTCGGTTCACACCCCATCATAAGCCATATATATATAATTTTATTTTTTTGACACAGCGACAGATGTAGCCTAAGATATGAAGAAGCCAGATAAGTGTAACATACCATGATTAGTGGGATACTATGACTGGATCTCTAAAGACAGCCGTCTGTTTCCATCTCCAAGCTAGCATTGATACGATTAATTGAATAATGACGATTAGTTTCGTGCTACGTGCATGGCGCAGATGGTCGGACAGCGAATAGAAAATCCTCTTGCACCCTCTTACTTCCCACCATGTCCCGTAACTGCCTCGGCCCAAAAGAACATCTTAATTGTAGACATTCCTCGTCGGCCCCAGCTAGGAACAGTCACCCCTTCCCCCCACAACCCCAGAGGCATCCAGTTCCCACCCAAAGTATGCCTCTGCCCACCCCTTACCCTAATCTGCCCCCGCTGAGGCTTGATGCCTCCCTCACATCTACCCCAGTCCCAGGGTAGCCCATGCAGGACAACAACAGAGTCCCCGCCAGGAAGACCTGAGAGGGCTTCATGGCTCTTCGGCAGCTCCAGACACTTTGGGATCTGGAAAACGACACTGCACCGAACATTGTTTTCTGGAGGGCTTGATTGAAAAAGGGAAAAAAATAAAAAAAAACAATATTCCAGTATTAATACTGTATTATACTATTATCGATGACATTCATTTTGCACATTTGAAACCGGATGGGTGTTCATTGGTCTCGCTCCACTAGTCAACATTTGACAGGTATGTGGACAGCTCTGTTGCACCAGATACACCCGGACTGATAAAGCATTTTGAATGTACTGCGACAAAAATGATGTCCAGATAAGTTTCCATTCTTCCGAATATTGTGGAGTTGAGCAAGGCCCCAGGCATTCGTTACGAACAAGCATTCTGAAACGATACGTTATTATGAGCAGTCCAGCCACGCAAGCCCTAATGACTAAAACGAGCCTCTTGATGAAATGCATAACATGGCCTTGGTTTTCAACTTTTCACAAACCACGAGGTGGGTGTCCTTTTTTTTTTTTTTTTTGCCCAAAACGAGGCGGGTGTCCTGAGATGCTATGCCAAAAAAAAAAAAAAAAAAAAAAAAAAAGAGAGAGAAAAAAGAAAAAATGTGCCACTCAACACGTTACAGTCAAGAGTTATGAGCTTCAGGTTTGAAACAGTCGTCACATTCCTGGCATTCTTTATCTGCTTTGTACTTCATCGGTTGGTCGAAAGACTCGAAAGTATTTCACACCAGCAGACATGGCGACCACCTTCAGAGCCATAAGTGGATGTGGCAAAGCTACTTCCCTAACAACTCACGAGGGATAAAACGCAGGCACTACTCACGAGAGTAAAGACGAAGACGTGCATACCTGTCACCTCTCCAGCACCAAATAGCCCAACAATTGGCTCTCCATTGTCCCTGAGAATTTGTCCAGATTGCGAAAACTTCAGCCCGCCCATGGTGTAGTGCAGAGAGGGGGTGACGATCAGGGCGTACAGAGGAGCATGAGGGCTGCACACCCATTCAACAGAACAGCCAAACAAGTCAGGTGTTAGTTGCATCGATGGTTCCGTTATGTTGATCAGACCACCTGTGTCACAGAGAGAGAGAGGGGAGAGGGAGATAGTCGAGCGTTCCTGGACAGAAGAGAGAGGGAGGGAGACCTGTGTAGGATAGTCAAGGATACCTGTGGGGGGAGGGCGAGAGAGAGAGAGAGAGAGAGACGTACCTGAAAAGAACGGGGAAAACTGTCTTCCCATAAGGATCTTCCCTTTGCTTGCCATAGTTCTCTAGCACATCGACGACCACATCCTCAGGCAATGCGAACGCCTTGCAGAATTCGGTTGCATTTTCAAACTGGTATCGTACAAGAAGCCAAAACATCCACGGAGTGTTAGCTGAAGGGTGAAAACCTGCTAACACTTGACGGCTGTACCTACTACTGAATGGCACTTTTTGTACTGCTCCTAGTCGTGCTGGAGGTCAGATACGTGTCGGGAAGAAGTGCCTACATGTTTACGTGTCGGGAAGAAGTGCCTACATGTTCACAAGCGACTCGCTAGCGGCTAAGTCGCAGATTGATCGGAGTGTTTTCGGAAGGCAGAGGATGTGAGGTGCCATGCACGTAATGAAACTGCTGAATGCACATAAAAAAGAAAAGCCTCCATAGCATGGCTACGATCCGGACATCTGGACGCCCATCCAGACGGTCTGGATTCAGTCCGGACTCCAGACGTCCGGTCTGGAAGCTCCGGATCTGCCAAATTTCGAGGAAAAAAAAAAATGGTCCAGGACCCTTCCCCATTGAGGAGCCAAGCCTCCAAAATTGTTTTGGGGGGTTTTCAGGCCCATTTATGCTTTTTTCGGGGGTCCGGACATGCCCTCTCTCTATAATAATTTATAAGACAACCCCAATTTTTGAATTATTAATAATTCATTATCTTTTATTAGTTTTTAAAGTCTTTTTTTAAGCTTTCTTTATAGTTTTTGACTTTTAACTCAATTTTGGTTAGGAATTTTGACATGACTCTGATGCAAAAGTGGTTTGCATTGTCATTCTGCATAACATACTTTTTTCTCAGATTTTTTTATTTTTATTTTTTTTTCAATGGTCCGGACATTTCCGGACCTGTCCAGACACCCGGACCGTCCGGATCCCCCCATGTCCGGAGGTCCGGAAATGTCCGGAATTCCGAACGTCGGGAAACTGCTGGACACGGGTCCGGTTCCATGTCCGGAAACGTCCGGGTCCGGGTCCGGCGTAGCCATGCTCCATTGAGTCCATAGAGTTATAAGAGTGGTCTTCACTTGCTAGAACAGAGGGGCCATCACTTGCTGGAAGAGCCATACAAGGGGTCGTCGCTTGCTGGAAGAGTGCCATAAGAGGGGTCATCGCTTGCTGGTGGCTTGCATTACAAATTTGCATGACGTGATTTTTGCTGCAAAAGTAAGGGAGAAAAAAAAAGGTCAATACTATCTCCAGATGTCAGAACACACCGCGGCACTAAAATCCTTTCGGACTGCTGTTCTTTTTCTTTTCGCATACGACCCTGAACACAACCACATTCAGCCCCAAAAAATTCCGATCGAGTGCACACTCTTGCCCCTCCGACACTCTGCGCGGTGTCATCATGCCACGACCTGTCAGTCGCCAAAATGCTTTCCAAGTCTTTTCGGACTGTTTTTTTTCCCTTTTTTTTTGCATACGACACCGAACGCGACCAAATTCAGCCCCAAAATTTTACAATCATTTGAACCCTTCGCTCACTTCCAAAGTGTCATCATGCCACGACCTGTCAGTCGCCAAAATGCTTTCCAAGTCTTTTCGGACTGTTTTTTTTTCCCTTTTTTTTTGCATACGACACCGAACGCGACCAAATTCAGCCCCAAAATTTTACAATCATTTGAACCCTTCGCTAACTTCCAAACGTTTGTCTTCGGAGAACAACAGACTTTCTTGCCACAAGTGTCCTTTTGCTGCTCATTTTCAGTATGCAAAAAACTCGTTCACCAATTGATATTTGTATGAAAACCTACCAGCCCTGCTTTAAAGTTTTTTTTTTTTTCATCCTTCTCCTTTTGTTGGGCAGCAGCTCACCGGTGCTGCATTTGCACTAAGCAAATCATGAGAATGGCTGATAAGGCAGTACAAACACCTAGGCTGTTTGTCTGGGCTCCCACGCACGCAACTTGTTCCCGGATACACGCCCATGCGCTCGGCCGGGCATATACCCCAGGCGAGGTTCTGGGCAGCCCTAGCGAAAAATAAAAGTTTTTTTTTTACTTTTTGTTCTAGGTTACCTGATCGGACGTCCAGGAACCCCCTGACCGTTCGAGGTTGTCCGGTCGGACAACTGGTCGGACATCCTCCCCAAGCAGTCTGTTATGTGGAAAAATAAACTGAACAACTTCTGCTTTGGGATGACATGAGATTCGTTATCAGTTGCAAAAAAAATAAATAATAATAAAGACACCCCCAACTTGTTTTTCTTTTTTTCCAAATTTTTCGTGCTTTTAAATGCTAAAAATTGAGTTATCCGGGCCCGGATGTCCGGGAACCCCCCCCCCTGACTGTCCGGCCAGGACCTCCTGCCATCTGACAACTGGTAACATAGATTTTTTATTAAAAAAAAATATAAAAAAAAAACAGGAAACAAAATATGTTGTGCGGTGAAAGTCGCCAGCTCAATGGAAACGAAATTTGTCTGAGGGTCACATCAGAACTCCTCACGGAATTGAACAAATTTGTTTGAACTTTAAAATCAGGAGCTGGCGAAGGGGTTATACATTGTCTTTAACGGGATTAAGGACAGCACAGGTTTTTTGTGTACCCCCCGCTTCCTCCCCTTTTGCCCATCGCCTCCCACCCCTTTGCCAAAACCCATTTCAAAAACCTGTGCTGTCCTTCAGGACAGTCATTCGCATCAGAGCCATACAGAGAAGGTTAGCACACGGATGACACATATCCCCATCGAGAAACGGTTCAAAAACAAAAACAAAAACAAAAAGGTGTATACTTCTTTGGTTATCAGCATTTATGCAGCTCTTGGGGGACTTCCATTCTTGCCATGTCTGCTCACCCGTTGAATGAATCCCTTTCCGATGTAGAATTTCGCAATGGTTCTGTCAAACTTATCTATGCCTTCTTCAGTCATGAGCATATATGCCGATATCGGCAGGTTGTCATTGTTTTCAACATTCCCTTCGACAACCTCCACTCCATTGATTTTGCCCCCTGCACGCTTGACTATCTCCAAGGGGAGCCTGTCGCATTCACTCATGATAGCTTTGGTAGCCTGATCACACAGAGGCAAACAATAAGCGACAGACAATGAGAAAACCACAGACAAACAGTCACATAGTACACATGCACAATGCCCTTAAACCGCCAGTACACGGCCCCAGCCTTGGTGAAAAAGATACTTGTCACCTACGAAAGTCGTTCTTCCACAGCTACGGTCTGCACCCAAATAGAACGCATTGTCATTATCACTGTATCTAATCTAATAGCCTGAACATTGCAACAAACACAGCTATAGGGCCTTGCCGCATCATTCACCAAATGCACAAAAGACAAAAATCATGGCCGTGTACCTTTCCATGTTGGGGCAGAGTCATTCTCATTTTGCACATCTGGCGAGTGGTGCGGCAAGGGTCACGAGGACAGGGCGTTTTACTTTGCCGGCGCAGACAGTAGTAGTGGATGGATGTCAGCCCCGGAGGTTACGCCCTGCTCACCATCCATAGGTAGTCCTGACTCCTGACCTGTTCATTTACAAATGGCTAATTGCCAATTGGCTCTCAAGCGTCTCAAGACTCTCAACCTTTTTTCAAAAACAAAGGCCGAGGCTGCCTTAGAATATCATCGTTAAACTGACCGGCCCTAGGTAATTCAGAATTACTGTAGTAAATTACTTGTAACTTTTGTAAGTATTTGGCTCATCTGCTTCCAGTGGAGTTCGAACTCGGGTCTGCATCTCAACAGTTCAACGGTGTACCAACCGGGCTAGGCCAGTTGGTAATCACCTCACAACTTCTTTGTTGAACAATTTGTGTCAATTCAGCCTGAACCTAGCTAGCCACTTCTGTGACCAGGACCAGCCATACAGGCGAGGTCTCACCAACCAATGTCCACCTCTATGGTTTCCAATTCAAATGGCTATCATCTCCAGTTAAAATTCATTACCTTGCATTTGCTGTCTGATTTTCAAGCTAAGCCAAGACAGAGTCTACTGGTACCGAGCGTCACTCCCACCCAGTGGAGAATCCACGCAAAGAATGCATGAACCTGGTCAGTATTAAGAATTTAGGACCAGGATGTTAAAAAAATAAAAATGCATAAACCTGGTTATTAGTAAAAATAGAAAAAAGACTAAACATTGTAAACAAGTCGAAAACAACATCGAATCACATGTGATAATCAAATCAACCAAAAGCCGATGACGACTGTGTGCGGCAAGGAATTTGGTGCATCTCAGGCAGTTGAAAAACGGACAGAGGACACAAAGGACGAGCAGAGAACAAACGCTCCGAGAATTCAACAGAAGTGCTGGTCACGACTCACGGGCACTTACCGCGTCACGTGTAGTTAACTCGTTAACAAATCTTTCTCCCTTTTGGTTCAGAAGAATGCCTCCACAACCTCTCAATGACTCTGGAGCGAGGAACTTGGTTGGATTCGCCGGATCCTTGGGATCAACAAACCCAGTGGGATGCAGTTGGACCTGCAGCGCAATATATATGACGCCACACAAGACGTAACACACACACACAAAAAAAAAAGGTCGTAGTAATTCGAGAGAAATGTTTATAAGTGCTATCATATGATTGACCAAAATTATGTCTCGTAAAGTAACTGCCACAAGTGAAAGGATTTCACCCATACTTGCAAGCGAACGTCATTCGGGCGGTTCCGCATGTGCGGCGGACCGCCGGACCGGACCCGCGCGGCGCACGAATGTGCGCCCGACGACCAGTTACCTCCCCCCCCCCAAAAAAAAAAAACGGCCCCGTCCGATCCGCGGTCCGGTCCGGTCCGGTCCAGGGGGAGGGTGCCGCACGCCGCAAAGCGAACCGGACTGGACGCTCGTCCGGTTGATCCGCTTGCAAGTACGATTTCACCTTGTCTGCCGTGACTCGATCCCGGACCCGTTGCTGTTCCCTGTTGTTCTGTGTCGTATCCCTAGGTGCTGTCGCTGAAGTTCGGACCCAATGTTGCAGGTTGCCCTTTTTTTTTTCCTAGCATTGCCCATATCCAGTAGTTGCTCCCAGAATCATTCCAGTGGCTGCCGAATTGCTGGTGTTGCAGGTTTGCCCATATCCTGTCTCATGAGTTCATAGTAGCCGAGCGTGCACAGTGTTTAGTTGGAAAAACTTGAAATACACAGGCTCTCTCTCACACTCGCAGACCACCTGGGCGCTGCCATGCACTGCGGTGCACAGGGCACAGTGCGTGCATTGCCGATGTGTGTGCAGGGCGCAGTGCGTGGATTGCACACGTGTGCACACTGCATGCACCATGAGCACAGGTGCAGGGTACATTTTTCTTTGGGTGAGTGTGTTCTAGATTTTCACCACCCCAGCCCCTGTTCCACCCCGATGACTCGATTCAATATCCATGCACCTTTGCCTCTATTTCCAACAATGAAACAGTTTTTACCTCTATTGCAAGCAACATGGAGCCTTTGGGCTGCTGAAGATCGAGAGTAGACCAGAATGGATCCATATATTCCTTTCTTTACTATCTTTAAAATTTGGGGTTTATTTTTTGTTTGTTTCTTTTTTCGTTCATGCGTGAGTGTGTGTGTGCGCGTGCGTGTTTGGTTTAAATAAGCTGTCTTCTTCTCATCGAGGGACAGCTGTATTTTTTTCTCTCTTTTTTTTTGCACTGCAGACCACCGGGGCACTCAGCAGACGTTCAGGACATTACTAGCGAACAGACCATTGGGGCAATCATCAGGACATTATTACCAAGCTCTACTCTGTCCTGGGAGTAGTACCCAGGCGCCTAACCCCTAGCGAGGGATGACAAGAATCTTATTCCTGCCAAGACCAGCCAGAAGGGGCAATCCAAATATCTCAGCACCGTGCCTCAGAGGGACATTGGCGATGGGCGGACACCGTGGATAGGAGCCCTCGACCACCTGAACGAATAGAGCCCCAACATTCTGCCCAGGATGCATTTGACTGATGGATAGGACTCCACACACCGCCCAGAGTTAGTGATGCCCCAGAGAAAAGTGGTAGACTTACACCAACCCTGCAACCCTAGCACAGACACAGAGAGAGAGAGAGAGAGAGAGAGAGAGAGAGAGAGAGAGAGAGAGAGAGAGAGAGAGAGAGAGAGAGAGAGAGAGAGAGAAAGAGAGCGGAGGAGGTTAGGGTGGGGGAGGGGAGTGGGAGACAGACACACACACACACACACACACACACACACAGAGAGAGAGAGAGAGAGAGAGAGAGAGAGAGAGAGAGAGAGAGAGAGCCATCAATGAAGAAAGAACAGCACACATTCAAAAAGAAAAAAGAGAAAAAACAAAAGCAACAGCACACAGTGGGAAACCTGATCATCTCTCTGTGAATGCATACAGAGAGAGATGCGCTGGCCATTTTATGGACTGCACGATTCACAAACTGGCTGCCACCCCCCCCCTCTCTCTCTGTGAATGCATACAAGCCATCTTTCGGGTTCGATACACTCATGATGAGGGTGCGTTGTGTACCTCAACAGAAAACAAACATAGACCACTAGAAGTATCATCGTCAGAAATGTCATCAGAAACATCGTTGGTCAGTAGTTGGAAGAACACAGCCTGCCGTCATTATGACTATGTTGGGCATGAAATCCACAGAGAATACAACCAGACGTAGTAGGGTAGAGGTAATGGGCCTTGCTACACGGCACACGAAACGAGAAAAAAGTGCGCCTTACCACAGACACTGGAAAGATTCACCCATTCACTACGAACAGTAGCAATGGTATCTTGCCACCTCAGTGGGCAGATGCACTCTTCTTTTATTGCTTTGTGTGCCGTGTGGTGGGGCCCGGTGGCCATTTGATGAATGTGTTCAATGCGACAGTTTCTTTGTTTAATTTTATTTTTTGAATGGTACATTTCGTGAACTGCTGCAAACTCAACGCACACTCACAGTGACTGTATTTGACCTGATATATCACTTTGATACATTCAAGGTTTTGCCCTACAAAGATAGCAAACCTTGCTACAGACGCACACACACATTATTTTTGGAGCCGCAGCTGAGCACGGCCCCAAACGTTTTTTAAACGTTTTTTCCTTTGTCAACTACCATTTTTATGAGGAGAGTGGCAGGGGCGTGCTATGCCACCCCACTGCTCCCCCCTTCTTTTTGTAACCCTTATTTTTAGGGGTACGCCACATCACGCGAGGCATCTCCATATGTAGCCTCAAAGTTTAAATCGAGGCACCTTATTGTTTGTGTTTTTGTTCTCTTTTCGCTTTTGTCTTAGTGGGTGGAAATGGGTTGGGGGGGGCAGGGGGCGCATGGAGAAGGACGGCACACAAAGCAATAAAAGATGAGTCCCACCGGAAGTGGTGTTTCAAGGCTGCAAACCCGGTAGGAATGGTGGGCCCTCCCCCAACTGGAAGCAGACCGGTCCTACCGGCCGGTCGACCGGGCCGGTTCCTCACCGGTTGCCAGTAGCGCATCACTTTTTTTAAGGCCCAGGGTGTTGTAGAGGCCAAGGACTAGACCCCCAGTGATTGCTGGCAGCGGCAGCCGGTGGTTGTGCTGACAGGATAGGCCACCTTCCCTACCCTTCCCCACGTTAATGCTCCCAGCGCACCCCCTATCCCTACTATCCTACCTCAGTGTGACCAGCACTCAGGACCATCACCCTACGAGTATCGAGGGCAACTTGGACCAGACAGCAGTGACAAGCACCCCCTAACACTATCACCCCCACTCCCCGTTTCAAAGTTTTTGGGTGGGAAGTACCGTCCCTACCCTGCCACTAACACCTTCAGCCCCCCTTTCAAAGTTTTTGGGCCGAAGGTTAACGTTTGCAGAAAGCCAGGTACGTTGTTGTCAACGTCTGCTGAAGCCTGTGGTTGCTGAAACCCCTCCACCAACACCCTAACCATAACCCCCCCAACATGAAATACACACGCCCACCCTCACCATAAACCCCCCAACATNNCCCCCCCCCAACCCCCCAAACAAAACCTCTCTGTTCAAAGTTTCTTCGCGGATTTGGGGAGATCTCGGCGAGCGCAGTCCAACCATGTTTTCAAAAACAATAAACCGCTGAGCCCCGGCCCCGTCCAACCGGCCAGTTGCCGGCACAGCCATGATTCATTTCACCATTAAAATGCATTTGTTACGCTGAATTCCCAGAAATACAAAATCATTTCGAAATTTTTGAACACCTTCGTGGGTTTCATGTGACAAGGGTCAATGCAACACAGTCAACTTGTACACCTGATGCTCTTCAGGAGAGAAGGAGGCAGAAGGAAATTCCCAGATCTTCTCTTCTTTTTCATATTTGTATCCTCCCTTAAACCACCACTTCCATTTCCCATGTGGGCTGCCTTCCTTTAGGAGGCCTAAACAAAGTGACGGCCGATGAGATTTATCAACGGCGGCCGTCGCTGGGCCCGGCCTCCGATTTTTTAGGAGAATGATATTTTCCCGTTTTCCCAACCGCATGAAAGGTAGCGGTGGTTTAAAAGCAGTGCCGTACAGTCCTGGCTCCTTACTACTTTGGGGAGCTTCCCTCTTCCTTTCCACTCGCACGTGGTAATTATTGCAAGCAGTACTTGAGCCCTTCCGCAAACTGTCAAAGCAAGAAGATCTTCAGTAAGTGGATGAAAACTTCCAGCTCTTCCCCAGACAAATCCTAAAAAGAAAAAAACATTCAGAAAAGCCAATAAGGCAACACCACGCATGCAATGAAGCCTCTCAGACCATCGGTAACTCCAACAGTCCCCAAAAATGAGCTTAGAAGAACAGCTCAGTAGCAGCCGGACAGCTGCTTGCAACGGCTGCGAAAGAAAGGCCATACAAAAAAAGAAAAGGTGCAAACCTGAATCGGTGGATCATGATATGCGTAGCGACCAATCGCCACTGACCTCTGCTGTCGGGCTCTAGCCTTCGGCTAAGCATCTCCATGGTCAGTCTAAGGGTAACAGAACAGGGTTTGGAGGTACCTCTGGCGTAAATCACCACCACCTTCCCCGGGCAGCGTCGAGAATGGAAAATGCAACCACCCCCAGGTTCTTCGGATGACCGGTGCTACGGGACCACAATGGCTGGCGGTGCCGGCCAAAAGAAAAAGGAAAAAATGGGGCTTCAGCAAAGCTTGGCGCGCACTTCTTTTTCAGCCGGCAAAAAGAGCCCCGGAGGCAGCGGTGATTTAAGCAAGAGAAAGGAAGAACCCCGGCCCACTTGTCCACTGACCTGGTCCATGTGCATCAGCCCCGCTCCAATTTCCTTCGCTATCTTAACTCCATCTCCTGTCGCAAAGGGTCCATTTGTTGTGGCAAGGTTCCTGATCTCCGGAACGTACTCCTTCAGAAGCCCTTCCCTGTCTGCTGAATAGCCTCCTGTTGCAAGCACAACTGCATCCACAAATAGTTGCATTTCCTCCCGGATATTCTGCACAAATGAATATTGTACACAACAATTGTATTCGTGACATCAGTCATTGCCAAACAACGCAGGGCAGAGAAGACTTGGTACTACAATGTCACCCCAACATAGCACATCCTCATTGTACCTGCACCAGACCACAAAGACAGCTTGTATACATTCATATGGAGGGTGCCCTGCGTTCGGGGGAAGACGGTAGCATCAACCAGCACACTAACGAAGAGAACAGGAACAGGAATTAACGAAGTGTATAAAACACACCAGAGCCAGTTCATAAACAAGCATTGATGAATGCACGAGTTCTGACATACACTACAAACGAGTTCTGCCGTACACTACTTGGTTGAACCACCAGAGGGTGCCTTCTATTCGGGGGAAGACCATAGCATCAACCGGCACACTGACGAAGAGAACAGGAATAGGAATAAACAATGTGTATAAAACGCACCAGAGCCAGTTCATGAACAAGCATCGATGACTGAGAAAGCACAAGTTCTGACGTACACTACGAACGAGTTCTGACATACAGTACGAAAGAGTTCTGACATACACTACAAACGAGTTCTGACGTACACTACAAACAAGTTCTGACATACAATACGAACAAGTTCTGCCGTACGCTACTCGCTTGAACCACCAGCAGGAATGACCTCTACAAAAAACAAAAAAAAAAACTTTGGCAGTGAACTCGGAGCCTGCGCTTGCTACATGCTGGCCTGACAGGGACCAGTTTGCTACGTGCTTGCCTGACAGGGACCAGTTTGCTACGTGCTTGCCTAACAGGGACCAGTTCAATGAATGTGAAAAAGAAAGTAGTGTCAACAACTTAGTGTCCCGCAGTACTTGTGCTTTCAAGTCCCATAATCCCGACTCCCTCCATCCCATCCCCCCCCCATCCTCCTCCCCAATTTTCCATCCGATTACACAATGCCGGCATCGGAAATGAATTCCAACTTCCATGCTTCAGGCCAATTTATCTGATTCTGCAAGCAACACTTGCATAGTTACACATGAGTAGCCTCCTGCAAACACAGACATGAACAGCCTAATCCGAACTCCAATTCGACTCCGATATAGTCCAAAACACTTGTCTGATCTAAATGGCAGTAACTCACTCCAAAAGAGACCTCAGCTCAACTTAAATGTCACACTCACCTATGAGTGTGGTTCTCATTTGTGTGTGCAAAAGAGTACTAAACGAAAAAGGCGAAGGACTTCAAAAAAAAAAAGCATGTTTTCAAGTTCAGGAGAAACCACAGAAGCCCTAAAAGATTCCAAAAGATGACTTTCAAGTTCAGAGGAAAACGGCCGAGGCATCATTAATTCAGGCGCCAGTGTGAATAATTTAATAAAGTTGGATAGAATGGTACTCACATCTCCGGATTCTCCTTTCTGGGTCACTGTAACGTTCACCCCAACCACGTGCTGAGCGTCATTCACAATAAGAGAAGTCGCTTGGGCATTCTTCAAAATTTGCACCTGAAACAAGTGAGCGAAGTAAAACACGTCAGGACTCAACACTGTCCGAGACACTTCCAAGCACACGTCAACGACACAAGCACTACCATCCCTCCCCAAACACAAAGCACCCTCATTATGCCTGTACCCGGACCGGAAAGATAACTTGTAGACGGTGGTAAAGTATTACCGTCTTCACCCGAATAGAACGCCCGGTAATTATCGCTGTATCTGGGCTGAAAGTTGTGCCAAATACAGCTATAATGACCGGGCGTTAGATTCGGGTGAAGACGGTAGTCTGGAGCCAGCCTCCGTTCTGCTATCCTTGCAAATAGTCCGTCGTACAGCAGTGAGAACATTAAACCACAAGTACTTGGCCCACACATGGGCCGCGGGCCTTCCCCGTTAACTCGCCGCAACTTTCGCGGGTCGGGAAAGGCTCGGTAGGGCGATGGGGGAGGAAGTTGCTGGGCCCAAGGGAAATGGCCGCACAGCAGGAGAAATCGTGGCTGGTTTTTTCCACATGCCGCAGCGCGCCATACAGTGAGTGAAACAAAAAAAAGAAACGAGAACTCAACTCTGACATGTGCTACGGAAAGACAAAAAAACAAAGACGTGAGATCCGCCAGTCGGCGGGCAAAACACAGGAGAGGGGACATAACATGCCCTCAGAGGCCGCCTCTCACGAACTTGGGCCTTGCTCCACTACTGTCCACATGATCAAAAGAGAAGAACACTGCCAGTGTATCTTTCCATGTTCTAATGAAGGATTCAGTTGCACTTTGCACATTCGGAAAGTAGTGGAGCGAGGGCCCCCAGTCCGTGCACAGATCTCTATAAAATCCTTTACCACTCTCCAAACGGCACTGTGGGACTGAATCGTCCGCTAGAACATGGAAAGATACATTGGTTTTAGTTTTTTGTTTGTGTTATGAACTTGGTTGTCTGACACTTTAATTGCCACTCTCACTCAGAAGAACTCACACACGCCCATGCATGCATGAGACAAAGGGGAGAAGGAGACAGGGTCCAACTGCACACAGATCAGAGATAGACAGCGGAATAGCAATTATGCACAGAAGGGGAGAATACACTCAGTGTTTCTCTCTCCCTGACACACTCCCAACAACCAATCACAATTGACACTGCGAAGATCACAATTGGAAAGTAACCCAGACGAAGAGCCAACTCAACACAGTTAACCTCAATTATCATTACAGAGTTCCACCCAGTGTCTCGCCACTCCAGAACCACACACTCCACTCACTACCACACTCTCAGAGTCTAGCGCTGCACAGGAATAGCCTCCCAGAGGCCAGCGCCATACACCCAGATGCAGATCATGAATAGCGAAGTAGCCTCCAGTGCCGATGAGTCACTCTGACGATGAAGAATACAGCTATGGCTGCCTGGCTGCTACCGCAGCAGCAGTACCCACACGTACTCTGTGAAGACCTCCCAGATAGTCCTGCCAACGCAGATATCCCCCAGGGGATAGATGCGCTGAGTACAGCCCCAGCTATGGCTGCCTCAGGTGGCGGGCTATGGCTGCTCCACTCACGGCTGATGTCTCCGGTGCCACTGCAGACATTCAGCGCTGCTCAACTTGGTTGGCCACCAACGCTGCATGCGAAAAATGAAAGCCCAAAGTCCCCATATCAGTTTCCCTCCTAGACTTATAGATTCCTACACTAGCCTAGACCGAAACTGGACTGACTGGACCTACCGGTACCATTGCTGTTTCTCGGCCTCTCGGCCTCTACCGGACCCGGCTATAGGCTATAGGACCGTATACCAGTATAGGCCGCTTAGGACCTGTCTGTCCTAGGGTAGCCCGGGCCTGCTATAGGCAGTTAGGGTAGCAGTAGGGATTCGGTTAGTTTAGGGCCTGTAGTCCCTCAGAATTACAGGTCTGCCCCTCGCGCATTTCCCCACAGGCAAGTCACTCGGTTAGCCCTCAGCCAAACAAAATTGCGAATCTACGGTTAGTGTACAGCCTCACAGACAAACTCGGCAGCAGAAATCAGCAAGTCATTGCATTTGTATATAGGCCTGGCTCCAGTACTCTCCACATGGGAAAGCGACTGTGGGACTGAATCCTCCGCTAGAACATGGAAAGATACATTGGTTTTATTTTTTCGTTTGTATATAGGCCTGGCTCCAGTACTCTCCACATGGGAAAGCGACAAGAGGCCCAAAGAATCTTTCCATAGTGAATCCTCCTCCCACAGCAACGGATCTTCTTCCTTTTTTTTTTTTTGGAAGAATCGGTGAATTTTCATTTCTCAAAAAGAACAGGGGGCGCTGGATGTACCTTTCCATTTTGCAGTGGAGGATTCGTCATGTTTTTCTCATTGTGCACATTTCCGTATCGGTCGAGCCTACGCCAAAAACAACCACAACAACAACAACGCATCTTTCTCTCTTTGTGCCCGCAGCTTCTGTTTCTGTATTTCCTGGGACATTTTCCAAAAGGCTCTGAACTTGAGTGCAGTCAGATTCGACGAGGTTTGGCCGTAATTGCAGTTAGGGGCAAGGAGGGCCAGGTCTCGACGAATCTGACAGCATTCACGTCCAGTGCACAAGTTTGTGGACTGATTACGTCCCTTTCTCAGCTTTTCCTTTTTTCAGTGAGTGGAAACGGCAGCCTTTTTTCGAGTCCCATCTGCAGTCCATGGCCAGCGGTACCAGTGCCACCCAGGAAATCTCCCCTTATGATGCCAGCCCCCTCAATAGCTGGGCGAAATACTGGTGGTTTAAGGGTTTCCGGTTTCGGGTTTAGGGTTTGGGGTTTGAATGTTAAGACTCTTAAGAGACTTGAGACGCTCGATAGATGATGTCCTTTTGCAGATTCCTTCAGCATTGCCTCCGTGCAAGGATGGCTCTCGCAAATTCGAAAATGACCCAATACAAGAGGTGGGGGAGGGAAAAAAGAAATGGGGTTGTCTATGAGCACCCCTAGAGACGTACCAGCCTTCTGCACTGTACTATAAACCCAGCGACAAGAGCTCTGCCTGAAAAGCTTCGCTGGTTGTACTTCGTTTGTACTTTCCCTGTGGCTAAATGCTAGCAGAACAATTAGTAACACTGTCACCTCAACCCATCCATATTAAGCTCGGCACGTAAGAAAGATTTAGGTATTTTTAGCTGAGTACAGATCCAGGCCGCCCGGCCGACCGGCGCCTGCCCGGGGGAGGTCCCAGGCAGCCTGGCCGGGCGGGCGGCCCGGTTGGGGGCCGGCCCCCCCCAGCACACTCACCTGTAGGGGGGTTTCAGACCCCGAATGGACTTGTTTCTGCATTGCCAGGGCCTACCGGGTCCGACCACGCCCAGAAAACGGCGCGTCCGGCCCGTGAGGCCTACTTTTTTTTTTTTAATTTTGGAAGGCCCTCCGGCCGTCGATCATCCATGATCGACGGCCAGAGGGCCGTTCGTTTTTGGAGGGAAACAGGACGCCCCGTTTGAACAAGCGAGTGGCTTGGGTTCTGCATTGGGTTTCCAAACGGGGCCCCTTCTCCAGCCGCCGCGTTTCGACCACACGGAGTCCGTCGTCCAAGCAGCTGCCCATCGTCGAAGCAGATGCCCGTCGTCGCCATCGCCCAGGACAGCCGTCGCCCGTCGCCCGTCGCCCGTCGTTGAAGCTGCTGCCTGCCGTCGCCATCGGGTGGGACTGCCGTCGCCCGTCGTCGAAGCTGCTGCCTGCACTGCCGCCCGTCATCGAGGACTGCCGGTCTCTTCTTCTTCTTCTTCTTCTTCTTCCCTCCTCATCCTCCTCCTCTTATTCTTCTGCTTCTTCTCTCCTCCTCGTCCTCCCCCTCTCATCTTATTCTTCTTCTTTTTCTTCATCTCTCGTCGCCTCCTCCCCCTCATCTTCTTTTTCTTTTTGTTCTCTCCTCCTCCTCTCT